ATGAATCCTATGGATTTGAAGAATTTCAATTAGTTGCGTGAAATTATCGTCGCGTTGCCAACAAGTGCCAAAACAGGCATTTTGCCTCGTTTTTCGTCCATAACCTTTTTGCTATTTTAGTCATATTTTTTTACGTGTGGTCTCATTTTGTAGGTCTCATAACTACCTAAAAATCTTATATGAAAAGTTTTTTCGTTCTCGGCAACACTTTCGATTGGATCCCCCAAAAAAAAAACGTGTTCTCATTCTTTGTTGATAAATAAAAGTTTTCCCACAAAGATTGGTGTACCCGTCCATGTTTTAACCAGACTTTACAATTATTTCTGTGAAATTTGCTAATATGATTAGACTATCTGTGCATATAGAGCGCCACGGCCGAAACATATCGATTGTTTCAGATTTTTCACATTTGAATCCAAATCGCTCAATTGATTGAATGTAGATGATTTTCACTTCAGATGTTAATTGAGATTGAAGAATATAAATTTATAATCTGTTGAGAGTACGTGCGTGTAACGCATCCAATCAGAAATGGGCAAGAACCAAATCTGAGGAAATGTTGAACCTGTGATCGATTTTATACGGTTTGTATGTGGTTTGCAATTTACAGTAACTGCCGCTTATGTTTCCATTTTTCATCTGCGACACTCACAGTGATTCGCTGTTGCGTGTATTTTTCGGTGCCGAATCGTAACCAATTATATTACTGGCAGCAGCCGCAACATTCCAACGAACAAAATCCGGTGTGAGAATTTTGTTTGAAAGGATTGAGGATTTCATGGAGAGACTAATCTCGTTATTATCGCCACTTTTACGGTGGATTGGCTCAAATTCGAATTATATAATTTAATGTGCTACTAACAGTCACAATAAGTAATATTTTCCATCTTTGAACTGATTCATAAACGATGTTGGGCACGGATGTTACATAGGAAATATGCACTTTTTAAGTAGACATTTTTTATTATTATTATTTTTTTAAGTCTATATTTAACTATTTGTTTTTTTAAACATTCTATGTATATTCTATTTACATAATTTTTTCTAGTACATCTATTTTTTTTTAATTTTTCATTCTGTGTTTCCAAAAAATACTGTTTTAGATTATTTATCGTCTACTTTTTTGTTAATTTTAGAAAACTATATTTTTGTTCATCTATTTGTTCTTTCTTTCCGATTATTTCTACAAGACACTGTTTCAGTTTATTTATCCAGTTATTTTTAGCAGAAATATATATATAACAGTCAACTATGAAGTGACTATAGATAATGAATAAATTAAGATAATACATTTTACTGCACACACGTTAACAATAAATAAGGTGGTGAAATATGCAAGTGCCGCGCTGTCAAGTTTCATTTATTTCTTCATACTGTGTACTGCGATCTAAAATCGGTATCATGTGGTTGGTATATTCTTCATCATCACTCGTTTTATGCTTTTATTTTACGTCAAGATATTGCTGTATTTTGAAAAACAAATTTTTATATTATAAAAAATGTAGAAGATGACATTTAAGACTGTCCTGGACACATTAAGCATGCAAGAACTCCCATAGCCAGAGTTATGGAATGTGCACCATCACCACACCGTTGTTGAGTTAGGCGGTGCTAAAACTTAAGTGACATTATTCACATCCGAAATTACCCCAAGCTTCTTTTCCCGGAGCTTCTTTGTTGTTGTAAGACTTAGATGGAATGCTTTTATGGGGGAAATCGACAATTTTACCAGTTTCCATATATATAGGGTGGATATCACTCGCAACATTCAAATCACAAATTATTGAATTTGAGTAGTAGTGTCTGGAGAGGTTCAAAGAAACGGTTTTGTACATTTAAAGTCGAAACACATGTTAGTTCAGCAGTTATTCTTGCTTAATTGAAGTATATCTGCTGTCGAACTGGGTGTAGGAAGAATGCTTGGACCACAATTTTTCTTTAATTATTTTGGGCTACTCCTTGCATTCTGAATAAACAAAGAATTAGTCAAAAAGCAAGATGAGGTCAAAAGCTAGATTACTTACACAATTACTCATGAGTAATTGCTACCTATGTGAAGTTCTCCAAACCCAATACTACCGACCCCTACCCTCGTAGTAGTAAACTACATGCACCTCCTGGCATCTCTAAGCGATAGTCCGATTCGATAGAACGAACTAGTGTCACCTACATAAAGCGTCTGGTCACTCAACTTTCCGCCTGTGTGGCCATAACCATCCATATACAACGTTGTTTCATGCTCTCTCTCTCTCTCTCTCTAAGTTTTCGAGCACTGCAATACTGAGTTTTTGAGTAGGTCCATAACCGCTTATTTGCATTCCGTTGTCTGTCTCTAATGACTTATACCTATACCATAAAACAACATTGTTGTTGGTTATGGTCATAGAGACTGAAAACTATCAGTTCTAATTCAATCCGCATATTTATCACTTAACGTAATTTGCATCCAACTCGTAAGGTTTTGGGATAAGAGCCTAAAAAAATTGAGAAAGCAGGTTCTTGATATGTTTTTAAAGGTTGACAAATAATTAAAATTGAATTTGAGGGGGTACTGAATTATGGAGATGAATCGCATTAAAGTGAAGCCTTAATGGAAAAAAGTTCTGAGGATAGGAACGGTGAGTGCTTTTAGGACGATTTATTAGGTTCTCCTTTTAAAAACTGGGTAAATTTGAAGTTTACAACCATAACATAGTAAATGATATCTATATAATTTTGTAGCTCTCAGCCAAGCTATAGCTTTTGGAAAGATGGCGAAATATAGTCGTACTTTTTCAATCTCTCTGCTGATCCTCAGCAAGAATTTTGATTTTTTTGTATACGTTTTATAGGCCCCAAAATAGATGGTGAATAATATCGTAAAAACATTTTGAATCAGCGCGCTGCAGCGTTTAGATGTATTTGTCACCTAATCTGAATGCCCAAAGTCGTACGATGCCAAATATTATGATGTTATCTGGATCTACAGTTTTGCGTTTTGGAATACATTCCTACTTTCACCATCTTAGCTTCTTACTAAAGTTTAATGCTCGCATAATGATCAGAATGTTATTTTTAGATTAAAATGTTGACAAAAGTTGGTTATATTAATAGTAATTTAAAACGTACTTGTCGAAGTGGAAATAAACTTTCTAACGTCTTGCTTGTCACTTCGAGCATCGTGTAACTGATACTGATCTGGCGTTCTTAGCATAACTTTCCTATTCATACTATAATACATAGAAAGGATACGAAGTGAGACAGCTCTTTGAGATATATTCTATTACATATTGGATTATTATTTTTCGTTTTCAAACCTGCGCGATGTGCAATACTTACTGATTCTGAAAAGGATTTTACGATGCTTATGTTTTTTTATTAGATTCGAGTAACCTAGAAAATTACACGATGAACTAACCTCTGTTATTGCCTAGATGATCTAAAATATTCAACGACGATTTATCAGGCTTCATGGGGAAAATAATGGACATAGCTTCTAAAAATACAGCTGTCCAAAGGTATTTTTGAAAACTTTATCCCTAATATCTGGAATACTTGAACGATTCCAATAAAATCTCGTCAATAGTCAGCGTATTTATTGAAATTTTCACAAGGAAGATACAAGCAGTTTATTTTATAAATTCGATGATCAACAATTAGGTGAAAGAGTATGATTGTTGAGTTAAACCTCTCAACACAACTGTCCTTGTTTAGAGTGCTCGGGTATCAAATAATCTTCTGAAGCATGTAGGCATTTACAAGGTATTTTCAAAATATGACGTAGAAATTCAAGGGATGATTTTCAGAACTATTGGGCTACCGAGCTCCTCCAAAGTCTTTTCTGATTGAGTTACATCCAACGATTGTTAACATTTTCCGCTGCAGCTGTATAAGCTGATAATTTTGGATGGCCTGATGGAACAAACTTTAAAGCTTTCAAGTTCAGAGGTCTACAAAACATAAGTCATGGCTGCTCCATTTATCCAGCTATCTTTAATAGTTCTGTTAATCCACGATCCACCTTTCTGCTGAATAATGACAAGGAATTTATACTGGAGTCCATTCTAGCAGGAGGTGTCTAGTTATCTTGAACAAATTTTGGTAGATTGGAAAGCGTTACATGTAATTTTTGTCAGTAAAAATCGTTATTCATGAAATCTTTGTTAGCCCCAGGTCCTTTTAACATAATCGCTTGAGAATATTACACAGAAACTCATCTTATATCTTTCCTTTAGGAAGAATTCTCGTGAGGAAATTTAGAACAAAATTCTTGCTTAGTACCTAATGGCAATGATAGCTTTCCTTCCGAGAATTTTTAGCTTCCATGTTTGATGTTCAAAAACACTATAAACAGTCCAAGCAATGACAGGAAAAATATATATAAGTTGTGAATGTCCACAATCAATATTTACTGTGGTCCTTATGAAGATTCCATCAGAGTCAGTGAATTTCTACGTAACTTTATACATCAATAATTACTGACGTCCAGGTTACAAAGTCAATGACTATCATATTCTATGATGAATACTGTTGGATCACAGTGACATTCACCTCAGAACTTGCCTGCTACCTCCTCACAAAAAGAACGCAGTGAATGTTGATACTAAAAATATTTATTGATCAAAAAGGTTTACTTCAAAATTCGACTGGGTGTTCCTACCTGTCGAACTATCCTCGCAAGAAGTAATCCACAAACGGAAGGTGTAGCATCACAACACTGCCGATGGTAGCCTCCAACACAAGAAAAACTGGGAAAACGCGTTGTAATAGAGAATGTCTTTCAATGGAAGATACGGTGAATTCGTCGCGATTACGGCGGAGCTTCGATCACAGAACAGCGGATGCTTTCCAATGAAAACACCTGTTGAGACTGACCCGGCGCGAGCTGCGCGAGGAAAACGTGCCGCTTCAACGCGCCGCGACGCGTTCTAACGCCCGGCGTCACATAACCAGTCGCAGGTGAACGGAATATACAGGGTGGCACAATAGCGATAGAGGGTCGCGATCAAGGTCCGTGTGTGTCAGCATTTTTCACTGGAAGTATGGCATTCCAAAGAAATTTGACAGTTACAGCAAATAGTTTGTAATCTGAAACATAATACCGCACCCGAAAAAGATGGCTTACACACTAAAACTATCAAGATGATCATGAAGTATATCAGTCACCCTATAACTCACATTATCAACCTCTGTTTCAAATTCCTCGCCAATTTAAAGAAAGCATAGAGACACCAATATTTAAATCTGAAAGTAAGCTCAATATGTTCAATTATAGACCTATTTCAGTTATCAATGTATTTGGGAAGATTTTTGAGAAGTGTTTGAATAGCAGACTTTTTTCTTTTCTTGAGAAATTTGACAATATCGAACTGTCAATTTGGGTTCCGCAAAAATTGCAATACAGAGCTATCTCTACAAGAACTTATAGGACAAGTGGTTGAAAATTTCCAAGATGGAAATAAGACTGTTGCAGTTTTCCTAGATCTCCAAAAGGCTTTCGATTCAGTATCTCATACAATTTTATTAAACAACCTAGAAGGTGTTCGAGTGCGTAGAGGAGTTATGTGCTTATTTGAGAACTATTTGACTGATCGATTACAACAAGTTAAAGTAGGGTCAGATTTAAGCAGCATTCAAAGGATCAAAATAGGTGTGCCTCATGGGACGGTTTTGGGCACCAACGCTGTTCCTCATATACATAGATGAACTACTTCGATGCAATTTCAACTGTAAAATGATATCATATGCAGACGATACTGTTTTAGTTTGCACTGGTCATTCATGGGATGACGCAATACGGAATGCCGAGTTGTCATTAAATAAAGTCAAATGCTGGTCGGATAACAATTTACTTAAACTTAATATCTCTAAAACTGTGACGTTTTCTCTAGCCAAAGCAGGCATGCCATTACACCACCGAACATTAATTATAAATGATAGTGCTGACACTGTCGAAAGAGTTGAAGTTATTAGATGCTTAGGAATCATTGTTGACAGTAACTTAAAATGGTAGTCATGCCGAGCTTTTGGCATCGAAATTAAGGAGAATTATTCAAGAGTTTTTCATTCTTAGGAAGAAAGAGCCTTCTCTCAATATATAACTCGTTTGTGGGGTCTCTACTAACTTACGGGATAAGTATATGGGGAGCCCCATACACTAGTACTTTAAAAATATTACAAACCACGCAAAATTACATTGTCAGGACTATTTTTCGTATCCCATGTCGGTCAAGTTGCAGATTCGTTTACATTGAAAATGATGTTTTGAATGTTAGAGGTTTATATATTTTTGCTGCTCTGAAATTTGTTCACTCCAGAAACAATGTTCCAAACAGCCACGCTTACGAAATAAGAACTAAAATAAATATAAGTTACACTTATACCAGAGTGAATAAATCTGTTTGCCAAAAATGCATAAAGTTTAATGATATTAGGTTGTATAATAAATTACCCCTAGAATATAAAATCCTCTCGAAGTATAGTTTCAAAAAAAAAGAATTAAGAAGTTCATCTCAAATAACTTTGACATGCTTGCATCGATTGTAGCTTGACTTAACCTAGTCATTTCGTTTCTATCTCATGTTTTTATTCCTTTTTTTTATATACATTTGCTCATAATACACTTTATGACCATTAGCCATGCACTGAATTTGTATATTGTGTGACACACACACACAAGCTTATAGCTAGGGTGTCTATTTTTTTGTAGTAAATAATGTTGTTTGTAGTAAATAATATTTTAATGGAACTATAAATAATTAAGTTTGTAGTATTTTGTAATTTTTTTGTGAATATTATCCAATATTTGCTTATTTACATGATGCGTTTAGTGGAGGTAAGCTAAAAAAATACTCATTTCGAAAAAGCAAGGCACTATTCTTAGAGCAAGTACTTGGTTATTTCTGTTTGAAAAGAGCTAGAGGCAAATAAAGCTCATTATATTTAAAAATGGTGTCATTTGAATGATGGTGAATTACAGAATGTAGTGATAACATCGTTTTCTGTACAAGATGTGGACTAACCGATTATTTTTTTCTTATAGTCAAATTCTAATAATCCACTTTCTTGATCATAATAATGTATCTTTGATAAATCGAATATACTCATATAAATTTCCCATTTCAATGTAATGTAAGCAGCGTTATTACTATGACATATGCAAAAACTCGAAGTAAATTCACACTTCACTACATGAACAAGTAAACAAAAGATGGTGCCATCTGTGTGTAAGCAAGTAGATAAGCAATATTATACCTTTTCAAACCGTTTTCTTTCTTTGAGGAGCGTAAACAGTAATTGTTGGTTAAAAACGTCTTCCAAAAGTAACCTAATTGCGGCTGGAGAAAATACTTCACAACAAAGTAGGATAACACCACAGCAACACGCAAGTACAGCCTAAGAAATTAAAAGCATGTGGTAATCGCTGGCTTAAGCCCCCTTGCCCCGAACCCCATGACGTTTCCTTATATAATTTATTTTGTGTATATGTTTCCCTCTCCCACCCTTGATATTTAATCGCAGGAACTAACACCCCCCCCTCTGACACGGGCATCTTCCTGAACATAAATCCTCACCATCCCATTCCTCATAAAATCGATTTTTGACAAATCAGTTAATATTGAAACAAAAAAAATCAGTTTGCCGATGATCTATTTTTTCATGTCATTCATTCTCAAATCCCTCAAAGGACATCACATTTCGATGTTAGTAAACCTCGTTCTGTACATATTTAACCATCGATTGAGGGTTACCATTTTTCCGCAAATGGTACAATATCTGTGGTTTACTTCAAAATTATTCAAAAAGAAAGGAAATGTTTGCGCTCTCTACTATTTTGAAACAAAAGTTTTAAATGTTGGCAATTTGAAGAAACTAAGGTACATTATTTCTTTAACTTACATAAGATACTATAAAGTCTAATAAAAGGCAAACAATATAAAATTATAAGAAAAACAATATGCATTCAGACTTAGCAAACCCAAAAGCACATCAAAATCATTGAATACTTTCGCATGAACGAAAGTCCATTGGATATAATGCTGTTGAGGATTTAGTTGCGAAGCCAAGGCACTACTCACAGGAACTTTTTCAACGAAATCTATGTTCCTATTCCTCCTTGTAATGGAGAAATGGTGACCAGTCAAGGTTCCCTAGACATCCTCCTTAGAGTTTCTCAGGGTTGGATCATTAGTAATCTCAAACTATCAAAGCGGGTACTGATACGACCCTGTAGAGTTTTCCTTACGTTAGCCAGAATCCAGAATTATTCTCCCATTGGTAAGACAGCTGGACGGTCGCAAAGCAAGTGCTCGCAATTACGGAGATGCTGCTTTAGCTGTCATTGTCCAGTCTGTCTCGATTAAGTAATAAATTAATAAATATCTTTTAAGCCTTTAATACCGATTTTACAACATTTGACAGCGAATGCTTAAATTATTGTCTTCGCTGCACGCGGCTATTGCACTGGGAAGTACTGAAGGTCAATTTTCATAAACAAAAATTATGTAAATGCACACATTATGAGCAGGCTTGTTATGCATACAGGAAGTATCGCTATGTCCGACAAGGCAACCCGACTCCATTCAATTTATGGAGAATAGATGCATTCCACGTTCACCTAAACAATAACATAATCAGCCTAGGAAGAATGTGCAGATTTTTTTATAACGAGCTGATGAATAAGATGATTGTTTTAAAAGGAAGGTTTTACTTCTACTTAAGCAGAAACCATGACAAATAGGAAACTATTTATTATTATTCGAATCTTCTCTCGTTGATGTACTAATCACCCGATTTGCGACATAAATGCATATTTTGACTTTACAATAGGCGCCCGTTATAACAGCTTGATGTCCGAGTGTATAAAAAAAGCAATAGGGCACAAGGCTCATAAAGTTGGTGGCGACAGCAAGGCATAAAAATAAATAACTAGGAAAGCCCATTTTGTAGTCCACTATCCACCACTTACATGTCAGGATGGAACTATTGTATCCGACTCAAGGGCCAAGGCGAAAGTGCTAGCCAAGATCTTTGTTGCCAACTCCACCATGGACGTTCCCCCCAACGCCCAAGTGCCGTCAATTCAAAGGGTTCCCTGCACTATGCGGGAGGTAACATTCAGGCATAAGACCGTAAGATGAGTGCTCTTGTCGCTCGACATCAACAAAGCGTCTGGTCCGGACTTGATTCCTGCCATTGTACTGAAGAGGTGTACAGCGGAGCTTGCTCCAGTTCTTTCGCGTCTCTTCCAGATATCTTATGAATCCGGCACCTTCCCAGAAAACTGGAAATTTACTCATGTACAACCCATCCCAAAAAAAGGATCTATGACCGACCCTTCTAACTACATGCCTATAGCTCTGCTTTCTGTTATAAGTAAGGTGATGGAGAGGTGCATAAATCGCGAGCTTCTGGACTTCCTCAAAAGTCACAGCTTGACTAGCGACAGGCAGTATGGTTTCCGGCACCAACGATCCACAGGGGACCTTATAGCCTACGTCACGCAATTGTGGAGTAAACTCATCCAGTCTTATGGCGAGGCTCATGTCGTTGCTCTTGACATCACGAAAGCGTTCGATCAGCTGTGGCACGCTTGACCTCTTAAACAAAATTCCATCCTATGGCCTTCCAGACAAGCTTTGAAGATGGGTGGCTGACTTTATCTCTGGCCGCAAGATATCCGTCGTAATTAACGGGTTCTCCTCGTCATCCCACAACGTAAACGCGGGTGTTCCCAGGGATCAGTCTTGGCTCCGACACTGTTTCTCTTACATATCAACGACCTCTTTTCCTGCGCGATCAACCCAATCCACAGCTTCACACACAAGCCGATCTCTGCCGCTGAGCTGGAAAGAAGACGACTAGCGACGACTTCCTCTCTGACAAGAGGCCTGGAGGCTACCACTGCTTGGGGACGCAACAATCTTGTACAGTTCAACGCTTCCAAAACACAATACTGTACTTTGACGAACAAAAAGCGTCCTAGCGGTCATCCGGTTCCGATGGATGGCCGAGTTCTGCCAAAGAGCCATTCCTTTCGGCTGGTCGGAGTCCAGATCACCCAGGACCTGATCTGGCACAAACACATCTCGTCAATAGCAGCAGCTGCTGGGAAAAAGCTAGGCTATTTATTTAGGGCTAAGAAGTACTTTTCTCCGCATGACCTTCTCACCCTATACAAGGGCCAGATAAGGCCTAGCCTCGAGTATTGCTCACACGTTTGGGGTGCTGCCGCCCCAACTACATTGTCCATGCTCGATGCTGTCCAGAGGAGGACGGTCCGACTGATCGATGACTCTTCTCTAACAGACAGTCTCGGGACCCTTTCGCACCGGCGAGCCAACGGCGATCTAGCTCTTTTCTACCGCTACACCAACAGGATTTGCTCCTCAGAGCTCTCTTCCATGATGCAGCCGCGCGATGTGCCTGCCAGGCAGACCCGCCTGACTTTGTCGTCCCATCCCAACCGTGTCGAACTTCGTACATCCAGAACTGGCCGACACGATCGCTCCTTTGTCCCGAGGCTGTCAAGTTTGTGG